AGCTAGCACCATTTAAAACAAGCAGTTTTCCGGCGTTTCGGCTTAGCAGCCATCCAAAAACCTAGGGTCGCTACCTAAAGCATGTAAAAATCTCTTTTTTTGGTTCCACCGTAGCATGCAACACTCAAGGCACAAAAATTCTAGGAAATGGGATCCAGAAACAGGTCTATTCTTCTATGTGCGTCTCGGCCTCAGTAGCCATCCAAAACCTAGTTTTTCTGCCCCGAAAACATGCAAAAATCCCAGCTTTTGGTTCCACCGTAGTATTCAAAATCGGTGTCAGGCTGCAGCGTGAGCATTGTTGTGATGAGGAGCATCAGCAGGGGGGAATAGTTTTGTGAGGATGGGGTGGAAGGCAATGCCATCCTCTTCTACCACCAAACAAGGAACCCGTTCCCACAAGTCTTCCTCTTCCACCCCTCGATTTGCCATCCATCCCTCCCTCCCACTTGACCATGTTTTGAGCATCAGCCTCCCCGGCCCGAAAATGACCACCACCGGTCAGCGCTGTCTGGTATTGGTTAAAGAGTTGTCTGGCTGTCATAAACTCACTAGATATTTTTATTTCGGTACGACTTTGCTTTACCCCCACCCCCAGCCAAAACTTCCTAAAAGTTTTCCGCTATAACTTTTTCTATTACATTAATTTTGAGCTGCAATTACACCTAACATGATATTTTTGATGCCCTATCGATTGATCCTTTTATCCGGGTTTTAAATTTCCGAAAAAAAAATCGGAAATACCTATAGAATTTTGGTTTTGGTGGGTTTAAGCCGCCTAAAATCTTGCCGATACTTACATAGTTTTTAAATTAACTCGTAAGTTCAGGAATTTCGGGGAAAAGCCAATAATTTTAATAGCTTGATCAAATTTCCAGAAAAGCGAAAAGTTGAAATTAAACACACATCGGGGTTTAGAGGATCAAAATACAACGCTTTCAGAAATTTTCGAAATTGATAGGAATTTTCATAAATGCAAAAATCGCTAAAAAAACGAAAAAGCGCTTTTAAACGGGGCTTGGAATAAATTCCCTGCCATTTTTCCAGGGTTCGTATTCCCTGTCGTTTCCGTGCCTACCGTATGCCGGCTGGTGCTGCGGGACCCAGCCATTCAGAGCAAAGAAAGCTCGCCAGATACCGTATTCGTGTCCTTTTTTAGTGGTATAATCTCCAAATTTGATAGGACTCCAATGCAAGCAAGTCTTTGGTCAGATTTCAGTGTTTTCACCCACCAAGAAAATTATATAAATCCATTTATGCCGACGCTAACCGGTTGTCGATATATCATATTTGTTGATGTAGATATTTAGAGTCTTTGAAGAAAAGAAAACTGAAGAGAAATCACATCCGAAACAACTGAAAAGAGAAACGAGGAGAAATTTGCATAAAAGTACAGTAATAAAAGAAATAGTAATATGTCTGTGGGGACAGGAGAGGATCATTTGTTGTCGAAGTGAACGTTGCAATCGGGAGGACGAGGGGAGGAAGAGGACGAGAAAATTATCGAGGGTATTTGATTGAGGCGGACCATATAAAGTGGATCTTGAAAGTTTTTAAAGGGTTCTCGAAGGTTCAGAGGGTCGAAGCCACCTAGTCCAAGTAGCAACAGATTCTCGGAATTCTAGTTATTTAAAGGGATGAGCAAGACTTAGCTTTGGATTTTTCTGCGTGTGGGTCCCATATTATATGCCTGCGTATGGTGTGACGCGCCCGCCACATTATGCTGCCACTTCACGTAATCGATTACGAAACCTTATCGGCTTTCAAACAGCGTGCGTCGCGTGTCGCGGGTGTTTGGTAGAAGCCTTTAGAATCCATTGCGAAATCATACTTGCCGCTCCCTTTAAAAGGGCTGCCAGGGCCTCCCTATAGATTTCTTCTAGATTTTGCCGCTCCGCGACACGGAAAGCGCCCTGCTGTCTTTTCCTGACGTTTCCGTCCCGAGAACGCGAGGCGAGTGCGTTGCTTTTCGCGTTTGCGGGTGTTTCCATAGGAAATCCATAGCTGAATACAAGAGCCTTGCCTTACGCATCCTTTTAAAAAGTTTTAGAGGCTCTGGAAGCTACTTTAGGCCTTTTAAAGTCACTAAAATATCGTAATGCAAGCCTTTTATGACTTTAAAACGCAAAAATGAGTGTTATCAGCCAAATTTTCTCATTTTAGTCTTTCCCAAATAATCTCTGCTAGCTTCTGGACTTTCCAAACCTCATAAGACTCCTGAAAATCCTAAAAACCCTCTAAACATAAAAAATAAAGGTGAGCGATGGGGGACACGGGAGAAGGACCGAGGGGGATACCTGTAATCAATGGGGGGATACCGCGCAAACAAAGTGGGATTCGAGCTCGAATTTGTGGACGGGTGAGGACGGGTTGTTTTTGATTTGAATAAAGGTACTTTGTTTTGATTTTAAAATACAATGAAATGGCTGAAAAAGCTCGGAAAATTCTATTAGAGGAGGAGAGCCTCTTTCTACAGTTGTCGCTTGTCGTTTTTTGGTTAGAACGAGGCTTCGTCGGTCAGCTCGAGCGCCTCGGCAATGTCGCTGTTTCTTCTAAAATAATATAAGTTAATTTATTAAACTTATTGTGCATTAAATTAATGCTAATCCATATTTACTAAGCCTAAAATACTTTTCATTTCAAAATATCCCGTCTAAAAACCCCACTTTTGATGCTTGGAACGGCGGTGGTGGTGACGTTTCGGCTTGCTAAATACGGAATTTCATAGCGTAAATGGATATTTTCTTACCTGGCCAGTTCATGCATTAATAGGGGCTCGCGGTGGCCTTCTCGGGGCTCATCGGCTGGCAGGGTGGCGTCCATCTCGGGGAAATTCTCCGGGTCGAAGAAAACCGGGCAGTCGGGGATTGGGACGTGCTCTAGAAGGAACAGATTTAGCTATCTCTCGCTCTCTCTCTCTCTCACTCTCTCTCTCTCGGTCTTTCTGTCTCTCGCTCTCGCTCTGACGCCCTCTCTCTATCTCTCTATCTATCTCTGTGTCTCTGACTCACTCGCCCTCACTTCCTCTCTCTTTCTTTCTCTATGTTACAAACTTACCATCCTTCAAATCCTGTCTACCACACTTCAACAGTCTCTTCTCGGCCTCTATCAGCTGTTTCTCGAGCCTCTTCAGATCTGCCATCCTCTCGTCGTGCTCATCTTCCACCGGTTCTTCTTCATCCACGATCCGTGCCAGCGTTTTTGGACCATCGTTCGGTTCGACATCGTCCCGCTCGGTGTCCGTGGCACCGCCTTCCACGTCGTTTGCTGAAAGCCGTGGTTTTAGAGGTTTTCAAGACGCGGAAAATTTCACAGCGGCCGCGATACGCAACCGGCACGGATTTGTCTCCAGGAACAGTACTTATTGCCTTCTGCAATGGACGGGCGGACATGCGCTGGCGTTGCGTGTTGCGGTCTGGTAAAATTCCTAAAGGGACACGCAAGACGTCGGATTTCTTTTCTTATAGATGGGCCTCCGTGCCGGAGCCGCCACGCAACGCGCGGTCGCGATACGCAGCGCAGCCCAAAAGACCGTCATCCATTACGCAATGGAAATGAGGACGGGCCGACGAAAATCCGTGGCTAATCCAGAGCCAAAACCACGACTTCCAGCTCTACTTGGCCCTTTAAAAACGCTGCTAAAGGCCATTTAAAAATTATTACATAGTTGGAAAACGAGAAGGGTGTCCAAACTGCCTACCTCCTTCCTTCTCCGGCTCCATGGCATCTCGTTTGTTACTCTCTTCCAGATGTTTCATCAGCACAGCCACGACGACATTCACCAACACGAATTGCGAGATCAGCACGAAGATGACAAAGTAGCATGGCGCCAGAATTGGATCCACGCAACAGTTCACTTCACAACGCTCCGAGCTGTCACAGTCGTCTCTGAAAAATATGGGGTTTGATTGGGGCGACCGCCACTTTTGGCTTGAAAATCGGAAGTTGACGCTCACCTCAACGCATCTTTCATAATGCCATTCCAGTTGTCACCCGTAGCTATTCGGAATAACGTTAAAAATGCCATTCCAAAGTTTTTGAAGTGTGCGTGCTCGCCAAGGCCGTCGCAGGGGTGTTCTTCGGAGCATTCTGGAAAAGCTCGATTTTTATTATATCTCTGGCATTAAAAAAAGGCTTTTTGAGAGACTTACCCAATTTCCCGAACAGCTCCACACCGAGGGCGGCGAAGATGAAGAACAGCAGGAAAAAGAGCGACCCGAGGTTTCCGACTTGAGGTAGGGCTTCGCCGACGGTGTCGAGCAGCGATCGTATGCCCTTGGCCATTTTTAGCAGCTTGAGGACTGTAAAATCGTGATTCAGAAGGGCTTTTAATCGCAAAAATTTATATTGAATCCATCTACAAATCAGAATTAAAATTCGGGGTTTAATACGGAGAAATCAGGCAGTCAGCCGACTTCAAAAACTTACCCCTAGCTATCCGCAGCACCCTCATCACCCTGATGATCGTCGGATTGATGGGCAGCTCAAGGGCCTCGAACTCCTCAAAGATGATGCCGGCGATGGAGAGGAACACGATGAAGATGTCCAGTTGGTTCCAACTGAAATTAATTGTCTTCATAAAGATATTGGAGCCCTACCGTTCGGCCATAAACCGCTTGATGCCGAGCGCGGTGAGTTTCATGGCAGATTCCAGGGTGAAGACGGCGGTGAAGAAATAGTTGAGAGCCTTCAGCACGTACTTTAGCCCGTGGGGCATCATATAGAATTCCATGGCCATCGAGATAACATTGATGCCAATAACGGCGGCGATGGCCAGGTCGAAATATTTGGATGTGACGATGCCGTGGACGAACAGTCGAGTTGGACCATATTCGTAGTAGTAAGGGTGGAGTTTGACAGCTAAAAAAATTTGTAGAAGGGTAATAAATTTAGTTATAGTTATAACAATATTTTTATGGTGCTTTTAAAGCATATTTCAAGATCAAAAAATCTTAGAAACTCGATTTATCGTCATTACATCGATATTTGATTCTCAGAGATGATTTTCAATAAAATTCGACGGATTTTTCGTGGATTGTAATTATTTTTGGAGGGTCAATACGGTCGAATTAAGGAAATAAAATTTTAAACCCACGTTTCTTCTTCTTGTTGGCCAGACACTCTTCGAATTGCGCTCGCTTCAGTTTTCTCTGGAACATACAGGGTGTCCCAAAAAAAACCCCCCTCGGCATTTGGCCGTCTTCTATCGGATCGGGGCCAAATTTTTACCAGTGATGGGGACCCATAAAAACTATGTGCAGCCAAATTTTCTAAGCAAAATATTGTAAAACCAAAAAGTTATCGCTAAAAAACTGATTTTTGGAAAACGCTGGTACTCGTTTTTGGCTATGTTTTCGCAATTAGCATGCGGATTTGGAGTAATTTTCCAAAAAATGGTCATTTCTCGGTCAGTTTCTGGCAATTTCGATAATAAAAAGTGATCGAAAGGCCCAATTGAAACGTAATTTTCGTAAATCAAAAAATTTCTGCGGGTAGAAAAGAGCGCCCTCTTCATTTTTGCTAAACATTTCGAGGCCGAAATCCGTCAAAATCCTAATGAAATCGGCAAAATTAAACTTAATTTTGATATATCTTCTTTTTTTACAATATTTTGCTTAGAAACTTCGGCTGCACATAGTTTTTATGGGTCCCCATCACTGGTAAAAATTTGGTCCCGATTGGATGGAAGGCGGCCAAATGCCGAGGGGGTTTTTTTTTTGGGACACCCTGTAGATTTGGAAAGTTTATGAATAGTTCAAATTGAATCAATAAATATGTAGAAGTCGAAAAGATAAAAACCTTAGGTCAAATGCGACCGAAATTACTAAAGTCCCAGGGTGAAATATGCGAGATTTCATTAAAAGACTTCCCCACCTGAATGCGCTTTTCGCGTTCCTTCTCCATCAGCTCCCGCTCCAGCGCCTCCTTGCATTTGTGGAAATTCTCGACGACGACCCCGACGAACATGTTGAGGACGAAGAAGCCGACGAGCAAGAGGAAGGAGATGAAGTAGATCATTCGCCACTCGTTGAAGTTTTCGATCGGCTGAAAAAATCAGGGTTATAACAGCCTTAAAGGCACATACAAATCAAAAATAAACCGCTTGTGGATTTTTACACTGTGCAAAGTTTACGCCCTAAAAGCAACCGCCAAATAAGTTTACCTGCACATCAACTGCAACAGCGTCGATCCCCTGGTACATAATCGACACCCATCCGTCTTTGCTGGATAAGACGAACAGCGACATTAGTGCTTGGCCGAGGTTGTCGAAGTTGTAGCGGTGGTTGACCCATTTGTTTCGGGTATCTTGCATACAGTCCGCTCTCGTCGTCACGTTGCCAATGTCCGGTCCGACGCAATGGTACATCATTCCCTGCACAATCGTATTATCGTTTTAAAGGAGCTGTGAAGTCAGCCTTCGCGAGAGAGAGAGAGAGATAGCGAGAGAGAGAGAGAGAGAAAGTGAGAGTGAAAGAGAGAGAGAAAAAGAGAGTGAGAGAGAGCGTGTGAGTGCCAGACGGCGAGGGAGAGATAGTGAGAAACAAAGAGAACCGTTCACCTTGAACAACTGCACTCCAAGAATCCCGAAAATGATGAAAAATGTGCAGCAGATGAGCACGATGTTGCCGATGGGTTTCAGGGAGGAGATGAGCGTCATCACGACCAGCTAAAGTGCATAAATTGACTTTAAAGTAGATGATTAAAAATCCCTGATTTTCGATCCCTGTCATCAAAAATTTCCAAATGGTATAAAATTAACGTCAGTGCTTTCTGGCTTATACCTGAAATTCCAAATTTTTACCTTCACACCAGGCGCCCGGTTGATGACTCGAAGTGGTCGAAGGGCTCGTAGCAGTCGTAGGACCCGGATAACGCCGAAGATCTTGGGAGAATCTAGAAAATGAAACCTAGGATTAGAAGAGGAATGTTAATTTTGATGTAGTAGAACTCAAAAATTTGAATTTCTGCTCAAAAAGTACCCAAAAACTGCGATTTTTAACTTTCCGATTCCAGTATAACCAAAATCATGCGATTTTTGAGTTTCCAGTTCTTTAAAATTAAGATTTTCCGACTTTTTTGCGTTCCCAGTGTTTTCAAAATGTTAAGTCTGTTGAAAAAGGGTACGGTTTCGCTTCAACGCCCTCTAAAATCCAAAATGTTTGTTTTTTTGTGTTCCAGCATCCTTCGAAAAATCTACTACTAAACTATCGAAAAGTGCTCAAATCAATCAGAAAAATGAGTTATTTGATAGCAAAAACCACTCGATTTTAGGCAGCAAATATATCGATTTGTTAGACGAATCGGCGACGAGGGTCCGGTGATATGAATTTCTGATAGAAAGAGAAGCTAATAATTGTTATCGGCTAGGTGAGGACCCTGACGCCATTTTGTGTTTTTAGGTAGGGAGGTGCAGAAGGACTAATTCACCACCACTAGCGACAAATTCGAAGAGCACGTTGACCAGCGAGATGACCACCAAGATGCCGTCGAGGATGTTCCAGCCGTCTTTGAAGTAGGCCCCTTTGCCCATGAAGCAACCGTTGGCCATCACCTGAAAAAGGAAATACAACGATAGAATCATTTAAAGGGGCTGAAAAATGCTATGATCGACCCCTGGTTCGGCTAGGCCTAGACAACTACGCGGCGCTTCAAATGACGCTGGCAACGACAAGTGGGTTTTGTCCGATTTACTCGGTTTCCGGATGCGTAGCTGTCTGAAGTCATGCTTAACTGTCGACACCCAATTGACCCCGGAACGCTTTAAGGGGCCAGAAAGTTCCAGAATGTTGACTAGGTCTCGACAACTACGTTAGGCTCCAAAAGACACTGTCGAAAACGGCGGTTTACTGGCGCCTTTAAAGGCTTGACAAGTCAAATTTTCCGCGGGATTTGGTCAGAAAAATGTCGATTTTTGGGCTCTGCAGTTCCGATGAGTTTGACTGCGACGAACACGCCACGTGCCCGCTCGTTTTTTATAGCGACCTTTTAATGGCTGTTTTGTCTGCTTTTTGCTAACCTTGAGAAACATTTCCATCGAGAAGATGATCGTGAAAATATAGCCGGTGACGTTCAGGAATTTCCTTTCAATGGAATCCGGTGGAATCGAGGGTCTTTCCATAGCCAAAGTGACACAGTTGATGCCGATCATGAACAAGATTGTGTAGTCGAACCATTTCTTTTGAGTCAGGCGGAGACAGCTGAAAAATGAAAATAAAAAAATACCGTATTCCCTGCTATACCTGATCCGGACCGGATTCTTCGGCCCCAAACAGAAAAGTGCATAGTCAGATCTCGTGTAAAAGCACGTCTTCTTCATCAACTTCCGGCATACGGTATTCTCCCGTTCCTCCTCTCGTCGCTCCTCCTCGGCGAGCGCCAATTTCAATTCTTGGCTTGCCTAAAAATTTGGAACTTTTGAGGAAAATTGGACTTCTTTAGTTTTAAGTGCTGACCCGAAAATGAAAAAAAATTGGTGCTTGACGTTGTTGTAAATAGTAGTAATGTGGAGGGTGTGGGGGTGACAGATTTGGAGTCAAAGAAAACACAGGCCCCATTTTTAAAGGGATTGTAACTTTCGGGATTTTGGATTTAAAGGACCGCGGAAGGGAAAATCCGTAGCTTGACGCTGTAGATTTTCCATTTCCGCTTCCGAAAAACCATCCAAGATGTTGCAAACCCCTTTAAAAACTTGTATAAATCGAAGAAGAAGAAGAAGAAGTATAAGAATTATGATAAATCGTGAACACCCGAGAGAACCGTAAGAAGCTCTATTTACCGTGCCGTCCTCCTCTAGTATCTGCAAATAGGGCAACTATTCGTAAACGCAAAGCATTTGAAATGGTAGAGGAAAGCATTTTGAAGGGACCGAGAAAGCAAGGTTCATATGCTTTTTTTGACCTTTTAAGGCGTAAAATTCAGCTTTTTTTGAGCAGATTCTGATTTTACACCTGAATTTTGCCTTCCTGGTCCCTTTAAAAGTTTATTTAAATACCTGGATGAACTTCTCGCGTGCGTACTCTTCGATCAGAGCCCTTCTACCGTGCACCGGGCAGTTAGGGTTGAAGAGCGGCTGATTGAGGCCACCCCAAGAATGTAGCCGTTGACGGCCTCGAGGGGACACCTGAAAGCAAACAAAAATCGACTAAACGAGGCCGCAAAGAGTAAAATTGCGTAGTTTTAACTATGAACACACCATAAATAGCACATTTTGAACCTCGAACCAAAAAACATCAAAAAAATTGTTCTCTGAATCAATTTCGTAAGTTGGCAAGCTAGCAGAGGCTCTTTAAGACGACTGTGGTAAAATTTTTGGTTGCAAAAATCGAGACAAACTGGCAGAAACATTTTGCAAAACTCGCAAAACGCATTGTCGCAGCGTTGATGAGAAATTTTAACTGACCTGAGCGCCAGAAACCAGTCTAGGCAACGCGAGAGACCCATGTCGATTCAGCCGTCCCATTCTTCTGCTCTCATCTTCTACTTCAGAGTCACTATCTTCGGCTTCTTCATGCATCCCTCTTGTCTGGCCGATAACTCTTGTCCGGGCCACGATCGGCACCATTGCACGGCTTCCACCATTCATCTCGTGATGGGGCGGGAGCAGGGTTTGGCCGCCGAGCTAAAAAATTAAAATACGCTATAATTGAAAAGTAGAAAACCGCTACGGGATATCAACGCGTCAGTCTCCATCTTCATGAAAAGCGCAAGATCCTGGCACGATACCTTTAATCCACTAAACCTCAAGGTACCCGGACTTAAAAAAAACGACCCCTTTAAATAGCGTAACCCATTGCGGAATAGAAACAAAAACACGCGTGTTGCGTCTCGCGGCGCCCCCGAGGAGCCCAGGAAGGGTCTCTCGCGGGTTTTTTGGGGTGGGGGCCCAACCGCGAGGCGCGCGTCGCCTGACTCGCCGGTTAGCAGCATACCGTTTAAGCTAGTTTTCAAGATATGTTAAAGATGATGGACGTGACGGGCCATTTTTGAATTCCCTGGAGAACTCAGCGAGGGCGCCCAGGGAGGGGCAGAGTTTTCCCCCGGCGCGTAGACGGAAGGGGGCCCCCGCCCGCTTTAAAGCTTAAGCTCACCAAGTCAGCCAAGCAAACGAAAGCTCACCTCAATCTGCGGAGACTGGCTGCCATTCTGGTGTATATCATTCCCAGGACATGAACAGTCTACGGATCCCCTCGGATGGGCGGAGAGGAATTGATTTGAAGCCGTGCGGGCAAGCAAGAGTTCGAGTTCCTTCTTCTGCTCCTGCTCCTCTTCAATGGCGTTTTTACGTTCTTCTTCTTCCTAAAAAATTGTTGATAGGTAGCTTCGAGCGTGGATTTTACTTTTTTTTTGCAACTACTTCGAGCATGAGAGTATTTAAAGACATATCTGCTTTTCGCTTTTTCTTACCAATTGGCGCTTCTCCTCCTCCTTGCTCTCCTGAAAGCCCTCGACCAAGATGGCGACGAGCAGATTGAAGAGCACGTAGTTTCCAAACGTCATCAGGGCCACAAAGTACAGCGCTGCCCACGGGGTCGTTTGTGACATTCCGTTGAACAGCACCATGTTCCAGTCTTCTTGCGTCAGGATCTAAATTTTATTATTTTACTAAATAAAGCCGGGCGGCCCAATTTTAGGTAGGTTACTACCATAGAAATTTACGGTTTCTTGCGCTCAGAATCCTCCAAAAAATGGAAGTTTGGGGCTACAAATTATAAAAATAGCTTCATGCTTAAAAATTTAAATTGGACGCCAATATATTTTTTTGATGACAAAAACTACAAATTTGCGCCACAAACTACAAAAAAACATATCCCATTTGCTTTTGAGTGAGCTTTTCAAACTACAAACCATAGCTCGTTTGCTTAAAAATTTGCCTTCGAAGATTTTTTAAGAATTAATGGAATGGATTCTGAGCGCAGCTTACCTTAAAAAAATAACGAAAAATTTTAATAAAAATTAAATATAACTAAAAAAAGACGACCACTTACAACCAGACAAAACACCGAAAAAACAACTACAAAATTTAAAACTTAAAATTCAAGCGATAATAAAATAACCAAATAGACAACACAACACCTGGAAGACAGTGACGGTGGCCCAGAGGAAATTGTCGAAATTCATCCGATCGCAGTCACATTCGCCGGCCGCAATCTGGGCACAATTGCACTGGATGCCCGTCTCTTTGTGGTTGCAGAATTTGCCGCCGAAGAACACCATACCCAGCGTACTGTAATTGGGACACCATATAACGGGAAGCCACGAAACAGAACCAACCACGGGCTACAGATCTACACCCACAATTTTATGCTTTCTTGCTTTTTCTTTCTTTTTTTTGTTTCCTTTAAATCCGATGCTAATTTTAGCAAGCATAGATTTATTTTTAAAAGGTGCCGTTTGCATCGGTTTTTGAATATTGTTTAAAAAGCAATAGAAACGGTGAGCTAAATTTACTTTTCTAATCTTCAAGAATTTTAGCAGATTCAGAAATATGATTGTGAAAATCTAATTTTTTACTTTGCGGATTTAAAATCATCCAAGTTTTTAAATGGCTAAAGTAATTTTGAAAATATTTGATGGAGAAAAACTGTAGTTTTCGTTAAAACAACTTTTTTTCGGTTCAAATCTTCGAAAATAAACCATTCCCATGCTTTTCCATGCAAATGAGCCACACGACATCCGAAGAAAACATGCCATGCTTTTCAAAATTGCATAAATTTTGTAAAAATCCTTGGTGCCCACCTGAAAAACGGTGATGAGGGCCCAGAGGAGCGAGTCGAAATTCTTCCTCTCGCACTTCTTCCACGGTAAATTCTGGCCCTTGCCCGGCTCGAGTTTGCAGAATTTGCACCCGAACAGGTTCATCCCGAGGATGCTGAGAAGTGGACAGTATTGGAATATTAGTCAGGGACGGGTGATGATTTTAAAGGGAAGATGACAGGCCAAATCGACTGCAAAAGGGCAAGAAAAATGCTAGCCCTAGATTAATAAACTTTTAATTTTGATAGATTGAGAAGGTTGCTGTTAGCCTGGTTTAAAGGGATTGGGAAACGCGAAATCGACACCTAAGTGGACTGGGTATCGACAGTTAAAAGATCGATTCTCATTTCTCGTGCCTGTCGAAACTTAGCCGATGGAGGGGTCGATTTTCGAAGAGCCTTGGAGGATCGCGTTATGGTTTTTGAAGGAATGGGAAGCGCAAAACAGGATCCTTTTTGTGGACTGGGTCGACGACAACGCCGAAACCAAATCCTCAGGCTCTAGAGAACACGCTATGTCTTGTCATTCGGATCTGTCGAGACCTAGTGGAACCCAGGGGTCAATACTGGGCAGATATGGTGACCGGAGATTAGCAAGGAGAAAGGATAGAAAAGTCAGGAAAAGCATGAGCTGGCATCAAAAAAATTCCGCACAAAATTTACCTGAAGATGAAGATGAATAGAATAAGCAGCCCAAAGAACACGGTAACATTGTCCATCGTCTTCAGCATCACCATCAGCTGATATCGGAGGGCCGGCATGAAACGGACCAGCTTCAGGATACGGAGAAGGCGGAAGGTGCGAAGCACGGAAAGACCGCCCTTGCCTTCTTGGAATAGCTCCAGAACGCTGAAAATTTCGAGAAATTACGGTCGCTATATGGTAAATAACCTAATAACCTCTAACATTTTCGTAATGACCAATCATCTAACCTGAGCGCGACGATACCACCGTCGAAAAGGTTGAACCCGTCGGACAGATAGCCGAACAACCCATCGGCGATCACTTTGAGCAGCATTTCGAAGGCGAACAGACCCGTGAAAAAATAGTTTGAATACTCGAGGATGTGCGTCAGCATTTCCGGCTAAAAAAATAAGCATGAAAAACATAAAAACCTGTTTCAAAAAATCATAAAATTCTCCAAAACGCGAAAAAGCCGGTAATTTGCGCTTTCGTATTTTCTTAGCCATAATTCTTGCTGTCAAACTCTTTTTAAAATATGCATAATAAATATTTGATTGCGTTTTAATAGTCTTCAAACCGCCAAAAAATATTACAATCTTGAAAAATGAGCAAAAAATCGGAATTTTGTGTTTTGCTGTCACGGTTCCTTTAAAGTACGTAAACAAGTAATCGATTACGCAACTAAATTGCTTGCCTGATTATGATATTCGACACCCATTGAAAGCGTATTGACGAGGATAGCCACCAGAATTCCCCTCGTGAAATGGTCACAATTCACAAAGGTTCGAACCTGTTGCCGCAGCCAGGAGACGCTTGCTTTTTTCTGAAATTAGGTCAATGGACGGAAGGACAAAAAGCGGTAACAAAAATCGATACACTCGCCATACCTTTTCTTTCTTCGGCTTCTTCTCATCCACCTTCTCTTCCCGCAGCTCTTCCTCGGACCATTCGGAGTCGGACTCGGTTTCGGTGAGCGTCTCCCTGGATCTGAATCATTAATGAAACCAATGTAATTGCATAAAATTTTCTGCGCATTATAATTCTTTCAAATTTTTTACATTTTGGTCAAAGATGTATGAAAAATCCCCAAAACGATCAAAATTTCGACTTTTCAAAATGTATTTATACATTTTTTATAACTTTTTGCCAAAATCATTTAAGTTTTAGCGTATGTTGTTATACCTGTTGGTCTCCGTATTCTCCGTCTCAGTCCGAACCCTTCCATTTGCCGGTTTCTCTGCTATCCGCATCAATTCGGGCATCATATCCTCGGAGGCTTTTCGCACCAAAACTGGCGTCCCGCATTTCGAATCTAAAAAACTCTCGATTAGCATCCAGTTTTTGGGAGCGTCACATGTAGAGGCAAATGGTCAAAAAGTTGGGGACAATTTTGTTGGTGGACAGTAAGCAGCCGAGTATGTGTGAATATATGGAAGAAGAATGATGGCAAACCTGTTTCTATGGAGACCAGGGGTACTGTAGGAGGGGAAAGTAAGTTTTACGGAATAATTTGAGGATCAGAATATTAAAATCTGCCCGACCCTTTAAAGCGCACGTTCAGGGAGAGGCCGTGTACTCGTCCCAACGTGTACACCCTATGGACGTAGGGACCGCGCGCACTGCCTGCCCGTGCTGTGACAGGCCATTCCCCTCCTTTGCTGCGTGGGGCGCCCCTCGCCCCCTCACCAGGTTGTAGCTGTGGCTGACTGGTATCCATCCGCGCCTCCCGAGCGGGGGGCCAGGGTCCGACCCCCGGCCGCGGCAAAAATCTTTGCTTTTTTCCAAAAAAACATCCCTGAACGTGCCCTTTAAGGGCTTCGGGACCATCGACCCTTTCGGAATTTTGAAAGCTTGTCCCACTTTTCAAATTCAATTTAGACAGGTTTATGTGAATTTGCGTTATTTTAAAGGGACCGGCAAGAAAAATGGCAAAACCTTGTATACACCATGGAGAAAAAAGATTTTAACTTTTTTTTTGCGCAAATTTAATGTCTTGCTTACCCAGCTCCTCCTCAATCTTGCTCAACTTGCACCGCTCGTCAATTCCACCCTTTTTCTTCTCGTCCACAGGACCATTGGCCGCCGCTTTCTTCTCTTTGCGCGACTTCCAACGCTAAAATAGAATAAGAGCGTAATAAGACAACATCTTATAGTCGCTAAATATAGTCTTTGGTCGATACCTGCTTAGTGTACTTCTTGACCCGTCTCGAAGTTTGGCGGATAAATCTGACCATGGCCGCATAGATTGAATCGCCGCCTCCGCCTTCGCCATTAGCAGAAGCGGCCAAGGCGGCTTCACTTCCGGCTGAAAATTGGGGTTTTGGAGCTTTTGAATATATTTCTTTTTACGGCCAGCGCGTTTGGACAGCTGCCTGCATAAATATACCGACATTAAGGATATGCTTTTCCTCCAGGTTTTATTTCCGGCAGAATATCCGAGGTTTCAAAGTTGGTTTTTCGTGAGGGTTTGAAACCCGGTTTAGACTAACAAGGGAAGGGCACGTGCCCTTCCCTTGTTAGTGCGGTATTTTATAGTACACTCATTAATGATAAGCTATATCCACCACACCGCCTTTTAAAAACCGTTTAATAGGTCTAAAAATCTAGGTATTTTTAGATGAAGCCACTCACAAAGACTTCCAGTCTGACTCTGCATCCTCTTTCTCTCCTGCATCATTCTCTCCGTTTCCCTCCGTTTTGTCTCGGCAAACTGCGTGGCGATGACGACCAGGCACAGGTTAATCATGAAGAACGCGCCGATCTGGAAAAATTTGTTTTTTTCTTCTTGCTAAGGACTATTTCAGGCATTTTCGCAACACAATTGACCCGAAAAAGGTAGCTAGATCTGGCAAATTTTTGCAATTTTTGCAACGAGTCAATTAGCCAAAAATCTTACGACAATAAGGAGCACGAAGTAGATCCAGTTCCAGAAAGAGTGGGCGTCCTGGACGTAGTACATGATGTCGGTCCAGCCTTCGAGAGATATTACCTAAAATAGAAACTCTAAATAGAAACCTAAAATAGAAACTAAATTAATTCCAAGACCAGCGCCCAAAACCCGCTTCGCGGGCCTTGGGCGCTGGAATGCGGCCTTTGCATGAAAAGTTAGACTTTCTGATAGCTCGGGTCTTGCGGACCCTCCACACCACCCCGCGACCACACGCGAGTGCAAATGGCAAGAATGAGCAAATTTGTATTTTTTCACATTATGCAAATTACCCCCAAAAATGAGTAAAACCGGCTTTAACTTTGTAAACTTATATTTTAGCGAAATTCTGAAAACACCATCGGAAACAGAAGGGTCGATTCCTCCTAGTGATGAAGAATCAGAGCGTTTTATGCACGGGAAAGCCCTCAAATCGGGCCACGAAAGTGACATCCACACACACACCCACACACATACACAGTTACACGCCAAAATTATATAAGGTAGGATTCTTAGATTGTTTGGAACGGTTACATAAGCCCAAAACCCACCAAAAATATCGCGACCCATGCGAATCCGATATTGTCAAAGCTGACGGATCCCTGGAAGGGGTTACGGTGTTCCACCTCGCATTTGTTGTAATAGAGATTCCAGTTTATACAGGCTGTGGGAGAGACCTGGTCGTATTCTTCGAGGGTTAGGTGACACCTGAAAATATTACATCAATTTTTTTTGCCAGCCGTAAAGGTTCGTATTACACAAAAAAAAATACAAAAATGATTCAATAGTAAAAACTTACCTAACACCATCTTTGACGTATGGTGGCAATGAAAGACATGTATGAAGTCCGGAATGTTCCGCATCGGAGCAAATGTACTCCATGGAGGTGTCTTCGGGGATGTAGTACCTTGAAAGGAAAGTTATATAAAATCAATTAAAACTCGTAGAAAGATATAAAATTAATTAAATTAAGGACAAACATAAATTTACTATAGAACCTCGAAATAAAGCTAATATTTTCTGCAGAAAATTGATAACTTAAACTTTTTAGATGTTCAAAATTGCAAGAATCGCTTTTTTAATTATTTAAGCTCAAAAAATTCACGATTTCCCACCTGGATAGCGAAATATTGGCAAACGACATCTCGGCGTTTGTGATGTTGAAATCGGGCAGATTGAGTATGCAACGATTTCTGGAATTGGGCCAAAATATGAAGATCTGTCCCCCGGAAATACCGTAACAACCCGGCCCACAGCTGCACCCCGACGATCCCAAAAATAAAAAAGACGAAGAAGCAGAGGAGGAGCACGTTTCCCAGCATTGGCAGTGTGTCGAGAAGGAGGTTTACTAGAATTGGAAATTTTTTAAATGCATCCTCCATTGAGCCCGAATTCCGTGGCTAGCGACGACGATTTTTGAAGCATTAAAAAGTTTTTATGCATGCTTTGGAAGTTTTTGAAAACTGACAAATTGTAGAAATTAAAAAATTTAACTTTCAAGGCGGCGGTAAGGCATTTCTACAGATTTTTCATGGCTATAAGCTCATCTAGAAGTTGCCGTCAACGCAACAGGTGACGCTGAAGCGGGCGACACGCGACGCGTATCATCGCGGAGCACCCCGCGGGTATCCGCAAGACGCTACGCGCGTGCTCCGATTCCAGCACGTAACGAAATTTGCGGAATTTGCGCGGACTACAGCGGTGAGCGTGCGTGTTGCGTGTTGCGGGCCGCGGTCAATTTCATAGAGAATTCCTGTACGTGGCTTGAAACCATTGCCAAACCTTATCAACAAGGCTCAAAAATGCGGAATTTACTGATTATAACTCATTCAACTAACAGAATTATTAAGCTGTCTTTACCATTTAAAAAAAATCCAAATATCCAAAATCTCACCCAATATCCTCATGGACGGTATCCGATTGACGGCTCGGAGAGGCCGAAGTACCCGAATCGTTCGAATCGCGGTCAAATTCAAATTACCGATAAACTCCTTCAGGAATACCTCGGCAATTCTGGAAAATTGTGCACTTTGAAAGCGTCAGAAACCGGTATCGTACCCAGCAACGACGATGAAAAAGTCGAGCCGATTCCACGTGTCGGACATGTAGGCTGATTGGCCGTAGAACCCGAGGGCCACGATTTTGACAACCATCTCCAGGGTGAAGTAGACGAAGATTAACCAGTCGACAACGTCCAGGATTTGGCAGCGGACCGTTTGGCAGTCATCACCATCTTCGCACGGCCGATACATGCCTGAAAAAAAGCATGAGAAATAGGCTTAAAGGGACTGGGAAGCGAGGATCTACCCCTTTGTTCGATTGGGTCTCGACAGTTTCAAAATGCTCCGAACAGCGCATTAAAAGGACAGGTAAGTTTAATTGGATTTTTATATTTAGATTAGGTAGATTTGTAATCTAAAGATTTTGAAGGGTTTGGTGGGAGTTGCTGGCTATATATATTCGGTCGCGTAACTGATTACGATGTATTTTTATCGCCGTCATCCGTTGCGTGCCGAAATCAACACCTGATGACAATTAGGTCTAGACAATTACACGTTATTCCGAATGATGCCGAAGACTGGTTTTTATTGCTATTTCATAAGCGCTTTTAAAGTAACAGGAATGTAACTTAAAGACCGTCAAAACGATCAAAATCAAGAAATAGCGCACCGGGCGGGGTCGAACCCGCGATGGTTCGCTCCACGGTTCGACGCGCTAGCCACTATACCACAGGCCGACTGGGGGAAGGGAGTCGGAGGCGCCCCAAACCCCATACCCCTTCCACGCCTCTCTCTGCGCGTTCTTGGGGGGCGCACCCTCGGGGTGACAGTGCGCGTTCAAGAGTTCTGGCAGTCTTTAAGACGAAGATAAATCCAAATTTAGGGCCTACCTAACGTCACACAGTTGATGAAAATGACGGCCATCGTGATCCGGTCGAACCACGGACTCATCACCGCTTTTAGGGCCCAACTTCGGGGAGCCTGCGACTGTTTCAAGCAGTGCAGCGCCGGCTCGACGAACCTAAAAATCAGGCTGTTTTTGCATGATATAGAACTAAGAAAAACGTAATTTGGATAATAAGTAAGGAACACAGATATTTTTGGATGTTGCTAAGTATATTATTGCTATTTTTAGGTAATTCAGGAACAAATATTTCCAAAAATCATATTTTGTTGTCCAAATTGAAGCTTTAATAAATTTAATTTTAACGAATTTCAAACAGGGTTTGGGCTGGAAAATTAATAGGGATTTAAGGAGAAAAGGAAAATCTATGACTTTCTTGGGGTTCGCTAGTTTTTCTGGCCTTACGTTTGACCCTCCTCTTCTGATTCCGGATCGGTAAACAGCTGAAAAACAAAAAAATCGTGTAAAAACGGACCCGGGGTATGGTAGGGCATCCACCTCTTCGTCCAGCACCGAATCGTCGCCCCATTCCACTTGTTTTATTAGGGGAGGGACAGGAGCGGAAGAGGATGAGGGAGGGCATGGTGGGCCGTCTTCTGGACGTGAGGGGGATCCCTCGATTGACTGAAACGGATGGCATAAATTGAATTCAATCGATTGTCATTGGATCATCTGTTTCTCTACTAATTCATAGATTAAAGGGACGAGCAAGTTCACACTATGGATTTCCCTGATCATCGATTTCGTCCAATTTTATAACGACACAATTGATCTTGTCTGAAGTTTCCTAGCACATCTTTTTGCTTGACCATCATCACGTGACGCGAAACGCAACGCGACGCCCGACGCGACACGCAACGTGCCATAAACGACACGTATTCATTGCGCAATGAATTACTCCCTTGAAAATGCGGTCAAACGGCGAGCGCGTTGCGTATCGCGACCGCGGCAAAATTAGACGCAGCCATAGCGCAATTGAAACTTCTCTTGGCTTTTAAAGGGACGCTGACAAGGGAATGTTTTCGGGCGGACATCGGACCCAGATATGTGAGTATGTGCATCTTGTAGAGCTCGACGAGACGAATCGATTGATGTAACTTTTAGCTGCTGATACCTTATTTTAACAAAGTTACAACGGTTTAAAGTTTTTGGCGATACCTTCATCAGCCCTACCCACGCCCCAACCATCGTGTCCTGGTAGCCTAGTGGCTTAGTAGTCGGCGTTTGGAGATAGTAATGAGGGTACGGATCCGCTCGCGATTTTGATTTTTTGCTTTTTGGCCGAAAAAGCTTCCTTTTTGCACCCCAACGGTCTACATTAACTTTTTTAAAGTTTTTATTTGTATTTCCAGGACTTCTACCAAAATTGGTGACGGTATTTAGTGGTTTTTTATTTGCAAGCACAGCCAATGTTGATGACTTCAGCTCGAAAAATCTCTGTGTTCCCTTTATGCTTGTTTATTGGGAATATGTATCTAGCGAACGTCCTAGCGCTCAAAAATTTTAAAAAAAGTTATTGTAGACCTTCGGGGGTGCGAAAAAGAAGCTTTCGGCCAAAAAGCAAAAAATCAAAATCGCGAGCGGATCCGTACCCTCATTACTATCTCCAAACGCCGACTACTAAGCCACTAGGCTACCAGGAAACGATGGTTGGGGCGTGGGTAGGGCTGATGAAGGTATCGCCAAAAACTTTAAACCGTTGTAACTTTGTTAAAATAAGGTATCAGCAGCTAAAAGTTACATCAATCGATTCGTCTCGTCGAGCTCTACAAGATGCACATACTCACATATCGGGGTCCGATGTCCGCCCGAAAACATTCCCTTGACAAGGGAATGCTTTCGGGCGGACATCGGACCCAGATATGTGAGTATGAGAATCTTGTAGAGCTCGACGAGATGAATCGATTGATGTAACTTAGCGTTGATACCTTATTTTAACAAAGTTACAACGGTTTAAAGTTTTGGCGATACCTTCATCAGCCCTACCCACGCCCCAACCATCGTGTCCGGTAGCCTAGTGGCTTAGTAGTCGGCGTTGGAGATAGTAATGAGGGTACGGATCCGCTCGCGATTTGATTTTTTGCTTTTTGGCCGAAAGCTTCCTTTTTGCACCCCCTAACGGTCTACATTAACTTTTTAAAGTTATTTGTATTCCAGGACTTCTTACCAAAATTGGTGACGGTATTTAGAGGTTTTTATCTGCAAGTCACAGCCAATGCTGATGACTTGCAACTGGAAAATCTCTGTGTTCCTTTATTTTATGGGTAGAGTACTGGGGGTCCAACCTAAAAATTTTAAAAAAGTATGTAGACCTTCGGGGTGCGAAAAGAAGCTTTCGGCCAAAAGCAAAAAATCAAAATCGCGAGCGGATCCGTACCCTCATTACTATCTCCAAACGCCGACTACTAAGCCACTAGGCTACCAGGAAACGATGGTTGGGGCGTGGGTAGGGCTGATGAAGGTATCGCCAAAAACTTTAAACCGTTGTAACTTTGTTAAAATAAGGTATCAGCAGCTAAAAGTTACATCAATCGATTCGTCTCGTCGAGCTCTACAAGATGCACATACTCACATATCGGGGTCCGATGTCCGCCCGAAAACATTCCCTTGTGAGGGCAGTCATATCGAATTTGTTAGCTGCAGGATTCCTTAAGGTTTTTGAGTGCGGGGATACGCACCACATGCGACGCCCTGGCTCAGTGAAATGGCGCAATGCATTACGCGGTGGAAATGCGTTGCGTGTCATGTCTACAGCCAAATCCATGGAGTAAGATCCATGAGTAAAAAAGTTAAGCGCGCTTTAATCGTTTCTTTTCTTCCACTTACATCGCTATCTGTTCGCCGTCGACATGACTGTGACTGGCGTCGTTGGGCGAGACTTTGGCGTCTCGCGAGGGCCGCCCTGTAAAAATATACTTTAATATTAATGTATTTAAATAAGATCCTATTCTTTTAATTTGTCTATTAATGCACGAATGTCTAGAATAGAATATGATCCCTATTAAGATCAGCAAAAAATTAGATTTTTATGCTCCTTGAAACAAGCTATTTTTCTTACCGAGGTCCCGAATATCGCGAAAGGGAGGAGAAGCTGCGCAGCTCGGGCACCGGCTGCTGGAGCATCTAGAAAATGTCTTTCCAAAAATTGAACAAAAATTACCGTATGGGCGGTGACTCAGAAGGCAGCGCTCGCCGTGGATTAGGGCGCATTGGCGCCCCGACGGCGCATTCACTTCTGCAATACGGGAATTGATACTTTCATCGCCAAAAACAAAAAAAAACGAGAAGTACGAACAACTAATTTAGAAAGAGCTTCCTTTAGAGAAAGTATAAATACGTAATTCTCTAGCGCAAAATAAATACAAAGAAATCATGCATTTTTTAATTACACAAAAAACGTGGATGAGAAATTAGGAACTTTCTAATAAAAAATTAAAATTATGAAGACATAGATGAATGGATTTTCCAGCGGTTCCTAGCGGTACCTGAAATACTCGTTTTTTGAAAAACTAAGATCTTTTTAATTACGGCATGCACAAAAAATCTGAATGATAAAAGCGCAATTTAAAAATTAAATTTGAAGACCGCTTGAAGATGATTTATGATTTTTTTAGTGCATCCTAGCGTGAAAAACGTAATAGATATCCATTTTTGTCAAAAACATTCTATAAATCACAAATAAGCTAAACAAACTCGGTTTGGACTTGAGCCATAGCCCTAGTAAAAGGGGAGGAGCAATCAGCCGGACCATAAATCACGCTGCTTTTTTCTTGGTCAGCCGGCTGGTGGTGTGGCCGGAGAGTGAACGTATTACAGCAAGAGACAAGTGGAGGGACGGACTAGACTGGGCGACTTGTCATGCGAAGGGACTTATAAGCAGCGAGCTTGACCGTTTTTCGATGCAGGCGGTGTTCGAAAAAATATTAACGAAAGCAGCGATCCGAAATAAGTAGCCAAGTGACCTGGCCGTCACTTCCAAGGGAAGCGAAAGCTCAAGAATCGACCCTTTCGATCGACTAGATCTAGACAGCTACGCTCCAGGCCAAATAACGTGTTCATTGTGGCGCTTTAAGCGACAAGCAAGGCAAAAATAGTTGTGGACCGCAGATCGCTGATGGCTTTCGCCGTCTTCGCGACCCACTACGTACGCGCAAGCCACGCGGCCGTGGTCAAGGGGGTGTAATCCGCCACGAAATTGAAGGTGAACGTGCGTTTTGAGTGCCCTATGTGAATTTCATATCAAAGAAAATCCGGAACCATGCCCGTCACCTTAACGGCCCAAACAAGATTTGGCACTGGCTAGAGCAGTCGACACCTAGTCGATCAGAAGGGGTCGATTTTTTGCCTTATTAACGCTTTTAAAACGCACCGGGGCAAAGGTATTCAGATTCTATAGAAAATAGCTTATCTATTAGGCTGACTTTTGGGCAATGGTTCTGCTTTCTTTTTCATAGATCACCCCTCGTAGGGTCATTTCTGGGGCGTGTCCAGAGATCCCGCAAAAAAACGGCTAAAAAGGTATGTGCGCAACTTCCTGAATGGACATGGTGGGCGAAGGGGTGACCAGGTGGAGGGGGGGGGTTAGATTTCTTCGGCAAAACTTCAGAAGTGGGATAGGCAAAGGGCCAAAGTGGGCCCTTCCATGGGCCGATCTGGCAGGGCCATATATCTCCACCCCCACCCCACCCCCGTAGAGCAATTCACGAAATCACCAAGGAATTTTTGCAGGGAGAGGGAGAGGGAAAGAGAGAGAGAGAGCGGGAGAGAGAGCGAGAGGCGGGAGAGAGAGAGCGAGAGAGCGGGAGAGAGCGAGAGCGGGAGAAAGGGGCAGAGGGCGAGAGCGGGAGAGCGGGAGAGAGAGGGAAGGATAGATAGCGGATGCTAAAGATAAACGGAGTTGCCTAAAAATGCTGAATCTAAGCCAAAAAATTCAATTATTAAAAGAAGCGAAAAAGCCTTAGAAACTGCTAACTATTCACTCTCCCTTTTTCTCTCTCTCTCTCTCTCTCTCTCTCTCTCTCTCTGTCTCTCACTCTCTCTGTCTCTCTCTCTCTCTCGCTCTTTCTCTCCAATTTCTCTGAAATAAATCACAAATCAAAGAAATGTTGACAACTTATCCGCTATTCTTTAAAAACCACAAAATCTCAATCCATTTCCAGAAATTGTTTTCCAGAAAAAGAGCTCATCTCGGGGCTGAAGGGGAGAGAAATGGATTTTTGGATGGGACATGTTGGCAACATTGTCATCTTGGAAGCCCTCTAATAATAGGGAGATGAGAGAGAGAGAGAGAGAGAGAGAGAGAGAGAGAGCAAGGGAGAGAAACGAGCAAGAGCACGCCTAAACCCCAAAAATGGCTAGAAATTAAGCACGAAAGATAATGACGAATCGAGAAACCACCAGATTCAAGAGATCCAGAGAAACATAGTGAGCACGAGATAATGAGCACCAGTGAGAGACTTAGAGGAACGTCATCGGCCAGGAGGGCGCCGGTTGACAGATTGAAATGGGTCCCCCGTGGGTGTCCCTCCCCTCCTCCTTCTCTCTACACAGAGCAGATATGGCCATTATTTTGCCCGAACGGGCACCCATTTTTTAGGCATCGCTGCTTTAGGATGGGGGAAAGATGGGGGGAAGAGGGTGCTGAGCGGGGTGCTTTTAAAGGGGCTGGCAAGTTTGGAGCGGTGGGCTTTATTTGGTGCTTTTGTCGTGAGCATAACGAAAAATAAATTATTTTTGTGTTTTGAGTTGCGACTAACTATTGCGGCTAATAAATTTTTTTGAAAGATTTGTACAGTGTTACTAAATTTCTGCCGTAATTTTTCTCTTTATCCCCTATTTCTTTAAATTTTTGAAAAGCTGGCATGGATGTGGTTTTTCGGGTGGGTTCATGATCTTCCATTTTTTTTTCCTTTTTATTTAAAACTAAAAAGCGCACGCTCTATAGTACAAATGTATCTATAAGAAATGGCAGTTTCCAACGATTTAGAAATTTTCGAAAACTGCAAAATTTCTTAAAAATATGATTTTTGACTTTGAAAAAGAATACCTTTGGAATTGTGTTTAATGATTTTTTTAACAAGTGCTTGAAGTAGGGTACACTTTTAAAAAGTATAATTTACGGTGAAAAATTCTCAAAATCTTTTAATCTGACTTTGAACAGCGATTTTTTGAATATGAGGCTATATCCAGAAAAGGAAATGGAGCACGCTTTAAAATTTCCGATAATAAAACCGGTCGCTCTCATTAAAAATTTTTTGTTTTAAATCCGTTGCGCACTAGCAAAATCCGCCCGCGACATAAAAAGCCCACGCGCGTCCAAAAAAGCTCCCGTATATACGGCTTCTCCAAAAAAGACCGGCCACACGCAATCCCTTTCAGCCGATCCACACTTCAAAACAACTAGCCGGCAGGCGTGTGTGTGGGATGACGCAAAAAATGCATTTCCTTTTGGAAAAAGAAATATTGCAAATTGCAATTCTTAAGAATGGACTTTCTTTCTGAAGGTTTTCAAACACCGAAAAAGCAGCGAAAATTCCAAATTACGATTTCAATTTTTTTTTCGAAACTGACAGACCCGAATGCCCTGTTTTCTGTAGTGGAAAAAAAGGTGATCCTTGGTACTCGAAATTTGAGGTCTGGCTCCAAATTGTACCCGATAAAAAAAATGCGCCCGAAAACAGACTGGCGGGAACTTCGGGTTCTTATGGATTGAGGCCCTGGGCCCTTGTGGTGAGATTAAAGCAGAGAAAAAGTTGTTATGAATATTCCATAAATCAGAATTTTGCATTGACTGCTCGACAACAGCGAAATCGCCATATGCGGAGACGGAATTGCAGCCGATCTCGTGTGAACGATATCTAAAGTGAGTCTATGTAAATTTGTAAGAATTCAGAGACATCGGGAATTCAGAAAATTGTAGAAAAATAACCGCAACGTCTAGGAGTGCTTAAAACTATGCTCATTGGAAAAACAACAGATAAAAACTAAAAATACGATGTAAATACAAATTAAAATACGATTTGGAAGTGAAGTGAATCGATCATCGGGTGGAAAAACAGGCAGGGACAGCCGTGGGTCTGATTTGAAGCGTATCGTAACGTAGTCAAACGCCTTAAAAACTTTGGAAAACACTGAGTGTTCGTGGGAGATTAATTGCAAGCAGCCAATGTCCTAAATATACCACTTAAAATCATGCTAAGCATGTTTTTGTTTTTCAGAAAAGATAGATGGTTAGTTCTCTTAGCAATCTTTTAAAAATTGGATCAACAGCTCGCGAGGCCGATTTCCGGTCTACAGCCTTGAAAAATCGCTAGACAAGCCAGCTGAGTAACATTCCGGCCGATTTCCGGTCACGATCCAATTGATCGGTTCCTCATGGGCCTGTTGGGCAAGACAATAAGCTGCGTAGTGACAGCGCCTCGAGACTGAGGGGATATGGCTTGGATGGGCCCTGGTTTGTTCGGCAGGGGGAGAAACATGTGTTTCTCGCTCTTTTTGGAAGGAGAGAGAGAGAGAGAGAGAGAGAGAGATGAGTGTTGTTGGTGGGGGAGAATGAGATGGGCCATTCGATGGGTCCTTGTGTCCCCCGGCTCGGGCTCGTTTTGTGTCCTCATTGGAATGGCAGAAATGCGGAAAATGAAACCCATCTCCACAGGCCGTAGCCTCTAGAGGGGGTCCAATGAGGTCGGCGACCATCAACACCAGCGAAATCTTGGATTCTTAGGGTTTTAAAGGGGCGAAGAAGGCATGGCTATGGATTTTGAGAGATATGGTTTTCCACTGGATTTTGTGGAAAACCGCGACACGCGACCGCCCAACGTATTCGGTACACGGAAGCGGTACGAACCGCGAAACACAACGCTCTCATCACAACTATTTTGCTGCCGCAGACCGTAACGGAAAACCGCGACGCGACAAGCAGCTAAAACCCGCGACGCGACACGTACCGCAACATGTAGGGCGGGTGCGGCTCTCAAACCTTACCCGTCTCTTTAGGGGTTAATAGAACGGGCCGGAACCCTCGAAATGGTATCTAATAGCTTTGTATCTTGCTTTGGGCTTATTATTTAATTTTTTTTTCGAGCGGAAATTGCCTCCGGAAACTGTGGTGGTCACAAGGAATC